CAGGTCTGGGACTTAAATCGCGGTAAGCAATGCGGAAGTCCAGAGCCCTTAACCACCATGCTACTTGCCAGCCCCCCTTTTAAAATTTTAAGGAAAATGGGACCAGCAGTTGGCATAATGGCTATGTTGTTGGACTCCCATGTAGACGACCACAGTTCGAGTTCTGGACCCAGTGGCTTAAACTCACACCAGGCACTTGTGCATGTGTGCCCAAGATCCCAAGAGGAGAATGGAGGAGAAAGGATTGCGGCATGGTCACCCTCACAGGGGGGTGATTTCTCACTTTCTGTCTGTCTCTGTCTTTCTGGCGAGCGCATGCACCCTACAGCAAAAATCTTTCCAAAAAAAATTTTTTTAAAGGAAAACAAGAATATGTATGTATTATCTCTGTAAAGCCAAGAAAAAATGATAGATATGCTCTTAAAACTATTCAGTTTAGATCTGAGATGGAAATGGAAGACTAACGAGGTAAACTTTCTCTTCTAACTTTAAATATTTTTAAAAAGTAGTGTCCCTGGCCTAGGTAGAATGACATCTGGCTAGTGGTGCCTATTATTATTAGCCAGGGACAAAGCAACCCATTGTTTATCTCACCTTGGCTTTTGGTCACTGACCATGCCTGGTTCGTATCTTGGACACATAGAATGAAATATAAGAAAAAAATAAATAAATGCATAAAGTAGTGGGACTGGTGTTTACTGCCACATGCCAGACAAAATAATCTAAAAACCTTTCTACTATATAACAAATCCCTAAATACATAGTTGAACCTCAATGAAAAAAAAAGAAAAAAAAAAAAGAAAATTCAGTCAGTAGACTAACAGTTAAGGGAACGAGATCCCACATGGCTGACCATGGTTTGAATCTTGGTCCTAGCAGTTTGAACAACATGGTGTATGCCCCAAATCCCAACAGGATGGAAGAATGGAGAAGGAATTGTGGTGTGACCAGACTCCCTTGGGAGGGGTTTTCTCCCTCTTCCATTTTTTTTTTTTTTTTTAAGTTAAAAAAGAAAAGAAAATCCACAGGCATCGAAAACTAAAGGGAAACAAAAGTATTAAGCTGAGTAGGGATGTTTGGGCTTCACAGAGGGTTCATTCTGAAGACCAAGGGATCTCTGAATTCAGAGAAGAAGCAAAACTGAAGGCAGAATGTGAAAAGTAAATACAACTGTAAAAACTAAACAGTAAAAACCTTGGCATCCTTCTCCAACCACTACACTCCAAGAATTCTGGCAGTCAAGCTGATCAAAAAAGAGAAATGGCAAATAAACAATAACGGGGGAAAAAAGTCCTAACTAAATACAGCAGAGATTTTTTTTTTTTTAAGTTCCTATAAGGAACTTTGACAACTGGGCAATTATGTAGAAGAAATATAACTATATTTTACTATCACATTAACAAATTAAAAAAGGAAGACCTTTGATAAACTGAATCACTAGTTTGCTTTTTTTTTAAAATCTATTCTTGCCCATGAAAGAAGGAAAAATTAAAGGAAGAAAGGATAGGACAAATGAAAAGAAGAAAAAGAGAAAAAGGCAGATAGAGAAAGAGACAGACAGGACAGGCTGCTCTGATGCATTCATAGATAACATCTATCAAATTTTTGAAGAATGAAATTCTTATCTAATACTAATTCAATGAAATAGATAAGGAAATGCTTCTTAACCCACTGATGGAGCGAAAAGAAATGTTATCAAAGCCAGGTAAGGGCAACATGTGAAGAAATAGTTCAGTCTCATTTAGGTACACAGCCAAAAAATAAAAAATAAAAAATTAAAAACAAGCAAGCAAACTCTAAAAAGGAAAAAAAAAAAAAAAAAAAAAGGAGAGGGAGAAAGCCCCTCCTGGGGGTACATATTATTAAAAATAAACAAATAGGGATCTGCAGTTGGCATAATGGCTATGTTGCTGGACTCCCATGTAGCAGACTGTGGTTCAAGTCCCTGACCCAGTAGCTTAAACTCACGCCAGGCGCATGTGGGTGTGTGCCCAAGATCCCCAGAGGAAAATGGAGGAGAAGGGACTGCAATGTGGCCATCCCTCCACCCCACCCTGGAGGTGATTTCTCACTTTCGGTCTCTGTCTTTCTGGCGAGCGCACACGCCCATTAGTAAAACCTCTACAAAAAAATAAAATAAATAAATAAAAAGATATGTTCAAGTAAGTTTTATTCCAAAAATGCAAGAAATGGTATTACAGAAATTTATTATCACTGTACTTAACCACATTAACAGATTAAAGAAGGAAACTCATCCAATTACTTCAGCAGATACAGAAAAGGTAGTTAAAAAATATTCAATACCCATTCATGTTTTAAATTTCTCAAAATAAAAATAGAGAGAATGCTTTGTATCTTTCTTTTTTCCTCCATCCTTCTCAACCTAAAAGGCAAAGAATCAACTGCATCAATTGGGCACATGCACATGCATGCCCAAGATCCTGAAAGGAGAATTTAGAAGGGATTATGGTGTGGCTATCCCAGGGTGGTGGTGGTAATAATTTCTCGCTTTCTCTCTCTCCCAGCGAGTGTGCAAACCCAATAGCAAAAATCTTTCTCTAAAAATTAGGTACCAAAAAAACAAAAACAAAAATTGAACACAGATCGGTGCAACTCCAAAACCTATGATCCAGTGTCATGTCACCATCCACAAAAGGAAAGAAAATAAACCTTCACTTTTGAGGTT